CCCTCTCTCTCTCTCCCGGGCATGGGGGTCGGTCAAGACCCCCCGGTGTCTAGCCCACCCGTAAGTATTTTGCGGGAAGGAGGGTGAGGAACGAGCTTAAATCACGTGAAGGCTAATTAACTCCATAACGACTACGATGACGAAACGAAGGTGATTGTATGCTGTCGATATCTCTCGATGACACGTGCAATAGCACATTGTGCTTCCCCTTTCCAGAGGAGTCTCTCTCTCGCTCTCTCTCTGTCTCTCTCTACCAGTCGCTCTCTCTCTCTCCGTCTCTCTGCCAAGCGAAGATCGGCACGATGTGCTGGGCTAAGGGACCTGCAAAATCAGGGGGATCGTCGCACAAGCATGGTTGACGATCCAGCTAAGGTGACGGTCCAGCTAGGAGGGCCATGCTTGTGACTGATATGGATCGAGGACGCTTGATCCACATACACATACCTGCTACGATGCCCGCCCAAATGTACCCTCAAAGCTGTTGCTTTGCAGTGGCCATCAGAAGCGGTTGAACATGTGGAGTGGCCAGGGGGTGGGTGGGTGAGTGGGTAGGTGGGTGGGTGGGTGGGTGGATGGGTGCGTGCGCGTGCGTGTGCGTGCGTGCGCGTGCGCGTTTGATCGTGTTTGTTCGTGCGTTTCCGTCGTGGTGCGGGCGCAGAAGCCCCGAACACGATATACTAGTAACACAGTCTACAATCCAACATATCGTTCTGTACTGCCGCTCCTTCGTATTAGATTTACGCAAACGCATACTGATGTATAGGCCGTATAGGAGAACAAACGCCCATGTGTGTGATGCATGTGCATACCATGTAAAAATCATGCACTCTTCTTACGACTCCCAGTCAGCATCTCTCTTCAGGGCTTTAGGGTTGCCATGTGCGAACCTGAAGGGAACACTGTATAGGATCAAGGGATCTCAGACTCCGGCCAGAAGAGAGAAAACAACACGAGATCGGATATGCAACATCTTCAAGATATTGTGCCCTTCTGTTCTGCCGATGATACGCACCTGCAAAATCAGGTCAACTCCTTTCTGCTCGGTTAGCCGGCCGACGAATGAGACCTCGGCACAGTGACAGCTGAGAGCCTGACAGCTGCTCTGTGTAAGCATCAAGGCATGCACTGACATTACTTGAACCGATGCCATCCCATGCCCCATGCAAAGCTGGTGACCAATACCACGCTCTCATCCACTTGCAAGCCAACACGTTCCTGGCGCGGCACGAACGAAAGCAGTCTTGAAAGGAAGAGCGTTCCGCCAAACAAGCTGGCAGTCCTGAAGCTGTCCTTTACATGCAGCCTGGCCAAGATCCAGAAGTATGAAGACGCAGATCGCTGCCATTCTGCCATTGGCGGTCCTTGCCATCGGCCAAAGAGCTCAGATCGTACTGCATCACCAGGTGAGGATCTGTCCTGGCGAAGTGAAACTCAGCGAAACATCTGCAACTGAGACTGTCGAAGTATGCCAAGATCAGCCAGCTAAACCGTGGATTCCATGTGACGACGTCTATTCCGTTCAAGATGCCGCCGAGAAAAAACCTTGGTACATCAGCATTTAGGCCTAAGGCCATGCATGGCCATGCGATCGAAGCATCTCCAACAACCGCAGCTTGCGGCCGTGGGACTCTTTCTGTTTGACCAATTCGTCGAGCCGAAAGCCACCTGTGCACGAGAATGTGCTACGAGACGCAGGAGCCGCTTTTGCAATGTGCGCATACATATCAATCTGACAAGCGGAAAAAGATACAAATTTATAATTTATAATGTTGGAGTTGTTTTTATATCTCGGCTGGCAATTTAAAAAATCCATGGCCCTGGCCCCGACATTTCCGGCGGAAGACTACTTTAGATTGCGGACCCAGACCAGCCCAGATCCGGCCAAACAATGGGACCCCGGTGACATTAAAGGGGTGACAATTAAATTAAAATATTCCGAGCCAGAAATCCCCAAAATTTTAGAGCCTCACTAGAAGGAAAGCTTAAAGACAAGCCTAGGCCTAGACCCGCCTAGACCCAGCTGGCAGAGTACAGTTCCTTAATACTGCTGCTACTAACCCCAGAATACCCCAGACACGGCCAGAGGTTTATTATTGTCACCCACCCAACACAAACCATGCCCCAAGAGACCCTGCGCAAAACAACCTCGGGGGGAGGGGGGGGGATTATTAAAACAACCCCAACATTACAGGCAGCATGAGCAGCGCCAAAGCAGCAAGCTGGGCTTCGAAAGTTAGTCAGTGCAAACCCTTAAGGGCCCGGACATCCCGCAACAGACAAACACGGTGACTGGGATGAAAAAAAGGACTGCATGCGACCTTCTGGATTTTGCTTGAAGTAGGCTCGTCCCAAAGCGAATCAGTACTGACCCTGTGTATACGATTTCAATTAGTTCCCATGCCTCCAACTGGAATATGAAAACGTTGCAGTGTTGATACAAACAGACGGTCGAAATGCAGTCGCTCGACCTTGATCTCAAAATCCACATCATGAACCCTCGCATCGAGCCTCGACTATGTATCTATCATACTAAACCTAAGCAATGCTCTGCATTCTTATTAGATTGACCCTCTCCGTTTCTTGCATGGCGGTCGTTTGCATGCGGTGCGTTCAATCCAATGTGAGACCGCTGCTTCCGCTTCTTGCCAGAAACATGGAACGATTGGCCTTCTGATGTCTTCATCTCGGATGCATAACCTCCAGGACGAGACACTCCGAACAAACCCAGTGGAGGACACTCCTGCCTTCGGAAACTGTCAATAGTCTGTCGCAGGTCAAAACGGCACCCTGGCAGCCCATCTTCTAAGCTTTTGCATCCACATCTTTTGCATCTGCTAACATGTGCTAGCTCTGAGCCAAGGTTGCGCAGCCTTTGTCAAGTTCCAAACGTTGCCGTCGTCACCGTCATACGACCTGTGGAGATTTAAATCAACATCTGAAAAGAATGTAGTCACTGGTCGCAGCAGGCTGCCGAACTCGATTACAGGTTGAGAGACTTTGAGAATGGTGGATTGTTGCTGACCATGGTGGCCTCTCCCAGTCTGGATATTGGTAGATCATGTGCTCATAAGCGCCGGTGTCATTCAAACCTTGACATGTGTCTTTCACTAGATGCACGAACCAGCCTCGTGTAGTTGCAACTAAAGCTTGCTACGTTGCTCGACAGAAACAATGCCGGAGGATGCGGACTGTAATGGTCAGGTTTTGCAGTCCCACTTCGGTGCTTGGACCATGACCGAAATCATAAATATCCACATTCTTCATGATGATGGGCAAAGTACCCTGTCATCTCAATTGCGTCACACAAACACGCAATGATGCTACAGTGCCCGCGGTGATTAATGCACCACCACGTGCAAAAACCTCGCAGTAACCAGACTCAATGTAGCATGCACCACCGTCGGATTTGGCACCAGCTTGTTGCACGGGTAGATCCCCTGCAGGACATCGACACAGTGTCTCAATACATTGAGCACAAAAGCGCGCGATAACTTGAGAAACAGATACTCGAGCAACCAGACGAGGCTCAACATGATTGCGAGTCGATCCGCTGGTACAGTGCAACGCATGGCTGACGTCAATGTGAGCAGCCTGTGGGGCCCTAGCAACATCGTGCCTGGTACCCAAAGTTGTGCACAATGAAGATACAGCGAGATTGGTGGAACCTGCAACTCATTCCAACTCATGTGTGCCAGCTCTCGATGCCACAGTTGATGAAACACCCACCGAACCCCCTGGGACGGCGTCAGTGAAATCCCGAGAGGTTTTTGCTTGCTGTCTCGTGACCTCCACTAGCCCCATCTGGTTTCACGTGTGCCCACGTCACTCCCCGCTTTTCCTGCCCCTGACCGTCCACGGTGCATTCACTGCCTCCCACATCTGGTTGCATTTTCTAGATGTTTAGAGAGTCTTTAGTGGCACCGGCATTACATCTGGCTGCAGTTTATAGGTGTTTAGAGAGTATTTAGAGGGCGATTAGAGTTTGGGGTTTAGTTTTAGGGTTTGAGGTTTTTTTTTAGGGTTTAGGGTTTGGGGTTTAGGGGTTTGGGGTTTAGGGTTTGGGGTTTAGGGTTTGGGGTTTTGAGTTTAGGGTTCAGGGTTTAGGGTTTCGGGTCTAGGATTTAGGGTTCAGTACTAGGGTTTAGGCTTAGGGTTTAGGATTTAGGGTGTAGGGTTGGTTCAGGGTGAGTAGTGTGGCCGTCGAAGAAGTAAGTTCAATTCAAGCGCAAGGCATTTAATTAGGACCGACATCTGCTACTGCTGCTGCTGCTGCTACTACTACTACTACTACTACTGCTACTACTACTACTACTACTACGACGACGACTACGACTACGACATACTACGACTACGACTACGACTACGACTACGACTATCCATAACCCCCTAAACCCCCTAGCCAAACTTCCTGATCCTATTCCTAGCCTACAGCACTTCTGCAGTGCCGGGGCCCCTGGCCTAACTTAGTACTTTATTTTCTCCTGCTCCTAACGTAATCTTACAACACTTCTGCAGTGCCGGCTAAACCCGAGCCCTAAACCTAACCTCGATACTACAGCCCAAAACCCTTCACAACTGACACGCTTGCGCCCATTGCGTGCTCTTTGAGGGTCGGCACCACTGGCGGCAGCCATTAAATTGGGCAAGGGTTTGGGGTTTCCGGCCGTTTGCTATAGGTCGGAAGCCAATGCCGCCGACCCGCGCCGGGACAAGCATCATTGACCTTCGTTTTTCCATCGGGCCGCACCCGGCGCGCGCGCTGCGGCCCATGAGGCGCAGGCAGGCGCGCAGGCAAGCGCAAGCCAATGTTTTCGGAGGGAGGGGTACCAGAAGGCCTGAAATCGATGCCCCCGCACACGCAACGATGCTGATGATGCACGCCTCCCCCCCCCGCCCAATGAATGATTGAATGAACGAATGATTGAATGATTGATTGATTGAATGGTTGATTGATTGATTGAAGAATTGATTGATGGATTGATTGAATGAATGAATGAATGAACGAATGAATGAATTAAGGAATGCATGAATGAATTGCCTGCGTTGCCCGACTCTGGGCGCAGCCCCTTAAATAACATCAACATGCATCAACAGGAAAGACCAGACGCACCTGTGTAACGGTCGCATCCGATGCGTCAGATAGACCTGAGCTTAGAAAGATAAAGATGATGAAGCATGACACACGCACCACCGAACCGAACAGCGTGATCCGAGGCATGAAGTACCGTGACGAAGTGACTGGCTTACCAATCGCCATCCGAGAAGAACCGAACCGAAGCGAACGAAGGGGAAACGATACCTAACCCCACAAACGGCTGCACCGATGGAAAATCCAAAACAATCCAACACCCGGTATGCAACGGCACTGGCAATGCATATGGCAAAACGAAGATATACGAAGATTACGTAACAAAGAAGACGTTAAATCCTCACCAAATGGCCCATCTCAAATCTTCTCAAGCACGGCCCAGGGTATGGCCACCCTTCGTCATCATCCTTCATCGGCCCCCCTCAAGGAGGAGAGCTGGAAACCACGAGTCGGTGTCAACACTGGGATCTCTGACCCCAGACCCTAATTGAAGAGCTGTGTCATCGATCGAAAATTTGGAGGCGATCCCTCCAGTATCCCTAGCCGAAACGATCTTGGATCCTGGTTGATCAAAAAGCTGCTCTGTCGAACGATAAGACTGACCCCCTTAATGCAAAGCAAACTAGCCGATAACTTCAGAGCTCATTCCAGTTTCTTACAAAAACTACATATAAAATTATATAATCCACGTGCGGTTTTCCCATGAGCCACACATGTCGGCTTCTGGACTTGTTTCTCAAAATGTCATCTCGAACGGCATCTGAGAATCTTGGAATTGGGCGGAATGGATTAGGGAAGGGGTCCAGCTTCAGTCCAAGCAGGCGTGAGCTTAGTTGCAGGTTCATTGCTGGAAGGGCAAGTGCCAACAGTTTCTGCAACCCACGGTCGCACCTCGACAAACAAAGAGCAAGCATACAAACAAACGGGCATCGGCGAAATTTTGCATGCATGACCAGTTTGCAATCGTAGATAATCGTAGTCGACATGTGTTGTCATATCGGCGGGCGGCGAGGCTTCGTCAGAATCTTCTGCGACATCATCACCAGCAGACCGTCGTGAATTAGAAACCATTAGGATCAGGCCGGAAGCAGCGCGCTTTGCCAGTCATTCGCAATGAACATTACCTGGCACGACATGTCTCAGCAGCACGTCCAACTCGCACACTTGCTACGAAGCTGCACCGACAATGTGTGGCGATCGACCCTCTCACCGTATGCAGCTCCACCGGGAGCGACACAGCAGGGAGCCTCCATGCTTCAGAAGGAAAACAGATCTGCAATCATCAACAAACTTAAATCGACCTCCAGGGCTGCAAGTGTGAAGAGCGCGAAGCGAAACAGATTGTCGGCGTACCTATCAAGTTGAGCACCTGTTACCGGTTGAACATGAATCTGCTGGGAGCACTCGACACCCTCCTGTGCATTATAGTAGAGACCTTGGCTGAATTTCAGACTTGGTCAGTACTCACAATTCTTGGGGCGGACTCGGAAGCTCGCCCACAGCTCCTACAAGTATTATCTCCTAACAGACTCTGGCTGCCTGGCCTCCGGGCCGATGGTAGCAAGGATGGTCAACGAACACGTAGTCAACGCCTGCAAGCTATCACCTTTTCGTTTCACACCTTGAGGCCTTGAGACATCTCCCGAAAAAAAACACATCAGCGGTCGCAGGGCTTACAGCGTCGCCCAGTTAAGAGCAGAGCCTTCGCCGCTTCGCTGCCTACACTCCCCGCCTTTGCTGCCTTCTGCCTCCAGAGGCTGCCACAGGTGATAATACCTTGAGGTATCGCTCACATCAACCCCTCCCCCCAGCCCCTCAGTTCAGCATGGAAAAAAACGGAAGATTGGGAGGCGCGCTTCACCTCATGCTCGTCGTGGAAGAGCCAAATCCTCAGCCGCACTAGTCTTACCATGTCTTACCCTCACCATAAACTCACCAGATTTCTAGAACCCTGGGCCCGTCAAGGACGGCTTTCCTGTTTCGGTAACACAACGACCGATGCGAGATCCTTCTGCCTGGAATAGCGTCTCGTGCCGACGAGTAACGCACATGTCTCACAATCCATGTTAATGAGACGGGGGGACATGCATGCTTACTGGCCCACGGTCATCTTGTCGGCGTGGGCAGTCGTTCCGTAACATCCATCAACCATGACTCTCGTGTGGATTGGATTGATCCATGCTGCGAGACTTCAAGCCACTGGCGTCACGCCAAAACGACGCGCAGGTTCCCTGAAATCGAAGCGACCGTGCCGAGATCCCTTAGGTGGGCGTTTGGGGTTCGTGCGGGCCGCTGCGGGGCCTAGCACAAGCAAACGCTTCAGCACCCGTGGCAAAGGCAACACAGCACGACCAAAGACGGCAGCAAAATCCTCTGAGTAAGTCTGGCTATGGATGCACACAGCCGGCCTGTCAAATATAACTTATAGCAATTTATTCCTGCGACCTTGCAAGGGGCAGGGCTGTGATTCGCGCAGCGATTTGTCCAATCGTTTTTCAGCTCTTGCATTATTGGACCATCCCAGGGCCCAGGGCACACCTCTTCCCAAACCCAAAGAAGACGGACTCTCCGACATACTGTCTGTGCCTCTCAGATCATAGTTGAGTGGCTGTTGCTGTCTCTAAACTGCTGGTACTGTCTCAAGTAAGCTGTTGGGCATACCATGATATGTTTGCACACACACACATACAAACGGCGGCAAAGTATCGCGGAATCAACCTACACCCCTGGATATGGCCGAACTTGAACAATAACTTCTACGGAAGAGACGGAACCGTCAATTGTGGGAAGCGCCAAATAACAACATCACGTATGTTGGACATGTTATTTCAAGCTACGTGGTCCGCAATGCAGGACGAACATTGAAGGATTCGCACTTGGTCGTATCCTCTACGGTCTCCCATGGCATCCCTTGCCACGCCTGCATAGAATGTTCGGACAAAGGTGCTCGAACGTGACGCAATATGTCATGTCTACTCAGCTTGCGGCATGCTGAGGCCCAGGCTTTTTGGAAGCAATGTAGTTGCAGTTCGCAAAATTGTCATACCTATCCAAGTACAGAATACGCTTTCCACGTAACACCACGCGAAGCTGTTTTCGACAATGTGCTTGTTTCACGCCGCCCGCGAAGGCGCTGATGGCCGCTTCCCAAGTGCCAAAATATTAGACTTTTGAGCACCTCCTTTTCCGACCATCTCCCCAAGGTTTCACCGCAAATCAGACAGCACCGTTACTAGCCGAGTTCCGGAAACAAAGCAAACCGTGTCTCTTTGGCAAGCGAAGTCCCAATTAGCTTGGACAAAAATTCGTCCGCCGCTCAAGGCCATGCTCCGCACACACTCGAGCCCATGCAATCCAGACTCGTGCTCTTCTGTCGTCCGATGTTGTCTGCTGGCTTCCTGTCGCGGAGAAGGCGCGAGACTTTCTCGGACACATTGCCTTGCAGCTTTAAACCCTTTTTTGTAAACCGATGACACGGACCTTTAGATCAAATCATGATAGTTTGTGTTCGTTACGCCCGACAAGTGCGCGCAAAGACAGGGCACATTGGGCTGATTGCCATCGTGCGTCTACCTCTTCCGGCCAGCTCTAGTGCCTCGGTGGCATGTCATTACTAGATATTATGATATTACTAGTCGGTCTGTCGCAGCACCCTCTCCCTCTCGTAAGGCTCGCGCTAGCGAGGCGGTGACGAGGGCAAGGCCGCCTGACTTCGACCTGCGCATCCCTGAAGCGCCACCGCCCGCAGGTCGCGAGTTACCCCTCCCCCCGCCCCGCCGAGGTTCCTGCCAGGGACTGATTTCACTGGTGACTATAACGGCGGGCACATCCAAGGTTTTGGAGGTGTACCTCATGACGGCACAATATGGCACATCTCATGTCAGAACCGTCCGCTCCCGGCAACACAGTTGACGACAGGCCACTTTGGTTCTGACGCCAGCTGCTGCTCAGCATCAGCTACCAGGTCCTCCTTGATGGGACGCATATTCTCAACATTATCCAGCCGTGATCAGGCACATTGCTGTATGATGATGACAAGTATGATGACAGCTCGAAGTACTGAGGCACCTGCCATGTCAACATCTCGAAACACGCTAAGTGATCCTTGACGGCTTAGCTGATCCTGCAAAGTCGGACATGGATTGCGCCAAGCTTTCGAGATTTCCTTTAAGGAGCTACGACCTATGAACCTACAATGACATGTCCATTTGCTCGGGCCCGAGCCAACTTTTTCGAATCAGGCCCTCGGAACGGACTGTCTGGATCCTCCTGACTGGCTTCCTTCAGGGTCGCAGGACATGAGAACAACCCTTCAGTGACTGTGCGCATGTCGTCCTGATTCTCGTCCATGACGATTTAATATCCTCACACGACCGATAGCTACCGGCACAAGCGGTGTGTGTGTGTGTTCCGGTCCTCAACTGCCGGTAGCAGTCGGGCCAAGAGGAGAAAACATTCCTAATCTAGAAAAGCAATGCTCCAAGCACCATCGGCGCCGCAGTACGAAAGCATCATACAGACCGGAGATCCTCAACGAAAGATCGCAAGACGCATTGGCACTTAGGGCAACTTCACTTCGATTCAATGAACAATGCACACCGTGGAACTCTGCTGGACATCGCAGCGGCAGCAAACGTTTTCCCACGCGGCCCGAGCCCATGTTGAGCTGCAGCCAGGGTACTATCCTGCGCTCTTCTTTCGGCCCTAAGCTCGTGAGCACCTGCGATGCAGCCCTGTGAAACTTCTTGGAAGTTCGCGTGGGCTCGAGCTTGCTTTCGCCAGATCAGCAACAGCCAGTGCATCATGCCGAGTCATGCCTGACATCGAGTCTGTGAAGAACAGAAAGAGAGAGAGAGAGAGAGAGAGAGAGTAAGAGAGAACACAACAAATTTTCTGGACAGATCAAAAGCACGACAGAATGACTGATAGAATGAAGTGCTGCCCTGTGACCTCCAGATAGCGGCCTCGCCGAGACATGAGGTGGCGGAATACCTGCAGGTGTCAGGATCTGCTGCAAGACTATGCCAGGTTGGACAGTCTGCGGAGGGGAATGTTTCCGCTCAAAGGTCAATCTGGTTGCGACTTGACTGAGCGGTGATGGCGGGGTTGCTCATGCAGTGCCGTGTGTCATCGCATGTCACGCGAATTAGGAGCCTCCGCAGCCAGGACTTCTTCATGGTTCTTGTCCGGATGCCACTTGAGGATGAGGTTCTGAGAGCAGCGGAGCGTGCCAAACTTAGCCCATCACTGATGGTTGGATAGGCTGCATTGGGTTTTGGACTCTCCAAGCCGGGCCTTAAAGGTTCGGCGTCGAGTCTCCAGATCCTTCAGTTGTGACACTTCGCAGCACTTCGCTCTTTATCTTGGCTGGAGCCGAAGCCTTGCTCTGTGTCTGATCAAGTTCTTTGTCGACCTTGGCGATGAGATCGGCAGCCTCACGATACACTCTCACTGCAGCGACGACGCAAAGGCGGTGCAGAACCTCTGGAGCAGCAGCAGTGTTCGCAGCCACCTGCATTGAAGTGCTGAGCCATCCCACTTGTCCCGCTGCGAACATGCACATGTCGAGGGCGCACCCGGGGATTCGCACGTTGCTCGTCTCCTTGTCTCAGCGTGCGAGTGTCGTTGAAGATGGGACACAGTCACTGCATGTCACTGCATGCATTCTTCATGTCCAACCGTCAAACTGGTCCCAACTCTCTCGGCCGGTAGAAATACACTAGATGAGGAGCTCCAGGTTGCACAGCATAATCCACACGTTCCACATTCCACGAAAGACGCTGGCACAAGCTAGTTACTCACTTACTCCATGCCACTACTGTATCACTGAAAACGTGTATTCCTTGTCAGGTCGCCCCGGGAGGCAGAAGCTGATTCGTATCTGCTCTGTTGCGACTCATGAGATTCCGCTGGGGCTGCTCGATGGCTTATGGCTTGACTTCGTGCAAAAGTGTGGCCAGTCCAATGAATTGCAGCTAACTTGAGTTCACCAAGTTGGACAAGATTTGCCGTGGAAGGTATCGGATTGCGGGACAGCAACACCGTCACCGCATTCTTGGCAAACACCTGAAGCTGTCATCTCGTTTCTGCATCCTTCTGCCGCTTGCAGGCTTGGATGTGGCAGGGAAGGCAGCTTCTCCGATCTCGGTTCTCTGCTGAAGCACTTCCACAAGCCCGTGTCCAAGGGGATATAAATCAAGCTGCCAACATCTGGCTTCCAAGGGCAACAAGACGAGGGCACACACACCGTTGTCGGACATCGTTGCACATTCTTCGTGGTGATGCTGAATCGTGGGATGCTGAATCGTGGTGGTCACCCCTCGTGGCTTCGTAAGGTGGCTGGAGGTTGAGCACGGCCAGGCTCACACACCCACAGGACTATGCCCGCGCAGTGCACCTACACAGAGAAAACACATACCAGTAAACAAGCCGTGCCAGGAGCACGATCACCCACATGGTGGCACGAATTGCACCCCAGAACAGGCAAGACGCTTCATCAAGTTGGGTGACAACGTAAGAACATCATGTGCCGCTACGTGATACCACATGGTTTGGAGAAAAAGAAGCTGGGGAAAAGACTACAGACCATCCGACCCGAAGGCACACTGAGACGTGCTCAATGTCAGAACTCGTGCTGTCATGCCCGCCGCTATCTTCATGAAGGAGACACAAGGAGACCGGAGACGAGAGTTGCAGCGCAAAGCATTGTCACTCTGTTGGCGACCCGCATATCCTCGCATATCGTTACAACGAGTGGGTCGGACATGTCCCTCTTGAATACGATGGAAGCTCAAAGCTGGTGACACCTTCCAAGTGTCTCACTTTGCCACCGATTTGGCTCCGCACTACATGCTGCAATCCGCCGAGGCCGGAGGCGCCAGGCGTTTTGATCCGTGGGTTCGTGGTTGTAGTAACCCACCCCCTACCCCCTCCCAGTGCCGCGATTTGGGGGGCCATGGTCCCCAGCTCCAATTTCGCTGCTTTTTTGGGGGGGCAGGGAGGGGAAGGGGGGGGAGGGCGCGGGGG